CCCCCCCCCCCCCCCCCCCTCACCTGATGTTCCTATAAACTCCACTGTGCTTGTTCGGAATTGCTTAACATATTTCGTTTAACAAAAAATAATATGGATAGTTCGAGGTTAAGGGAAGAATGAGTGATAAGGTTATTTATTTATATAGTCTGTATGATCTTATCATATGCATAATCTGTTTTTTTCAGATATCATAATAGGCGTATCTCTTGGTTGCGTGGTTGGAAGCATTGTCATCGTAGTTCTGTTTGTTGTAATTATTCACCAGTAAGTGTTGATGGTTTTCGCAATGAAATTGCATGTGAGCCACGGTGTAATCCGGGTTCGTATTTTGAAAGTTCAAGATTCAGACAAGAATTTTTGATGTTCAAAATTAAATTTTACACACGATTGCCTTTGTTAACTCTGAGGACTTCTTTATAACCATTTAACGTATTGCTTTCGTACATTTCAGTATAAGAAAGAAGAAGAAGATGATGAAGAAGAAAACATCCGATGACGACATAATATATCACTCACCGCATGTTTATTCAAATGATATCCACATTTATGCAGACTTCGGCAGAGAAACAAACTTGTCTCGAAGGACAGAGGAGCCTTCTGTCAGTTTCCACAAAGTTCAGGATTAACTCTCAACAGACTGAATTGGCTACAACCTTCGATATTAAACAATTATGTACATTAACCATCTCATCTTATCTCAAGAACAAGAAGTTGCAAGAACAAGAAGTTGCTGTTATTATGGATCTTAGATTTTACACATTGGACGAATATTATTGAATTTGAAGCAATAATTATTTCGTTTAAAACATTATTTTTTCCTTTGTGAGCCCTATTTTGAAAATACTTTCTTACCGATTATAAATCCAAATTTAATAGTTTTCGTTCCGTTTTTTACAATCTGTTATACACATTCCGTGTATTAGGACACAATACTAATCTGACATGGGACAGAACGACTAATTTTTATGTGTGTATGTTTGTAAATAGTAAATTATTTTGTTTAATTTTTAATTCAAATTGTCTGTTATAATGGACAAAACGGAAAATGAAATAGTTGTTATGCTTCTGTCCAGTTATTTCAGCAGCCAATAAGTGATCAAATGTTTTACTTCCAATTAACCAATCATAAAATAATAACATTCTAAACCTGGTTTTAAATTGAGTATTTATAAGTATTTTGTGCAATCGTAAGACGAAAAAAAAGTTATGACGTCAATTATGACCATTCTCGCTGTAATTGCCTCTATGAATTTCTCGAGAAAATGGTTTAGATAACCAGTATTGTCACTATCAGTAACTTAGTAACTTGGTGTGGAAATATACCAATAACGGTTTTGATCTTAATGCTGTCGTGACTATCTCCATGGCGAACAAGGTTGGGGAATTTTGTTCTAAAAAGTATACTGCACAACTGATATGGCATGCCGCAATCCTCTACAGTTTCTACAAAGTTGAATCTGTGAAATTCATTTACTTCCGGTATACAGCAGTGATTTGTCAAGTGATAGTAATATTGCGACCTAAATATAGTCCTTAAATTTAGAGACTTTGGGAGATAAACCTGGCACATACTTATGTATTTAATGCATATTGGTTATCCTATTATACATTTTATTATCATTTTGGATCCGTATCTTACGAAGTTTTTGTTTTTATTGACTTTTTTTTAAAAACACTGATAGTCCCAAACGACCAGTCTCTAATGTTATATCTACAAGAATCGCGTGATCACGTGACGATATTGGCATATTTCCGGTAAATAATGGCTGCCATTCATTAACGTGCAGAGCCGTAGCGTAACTTTCACCATAGCTCTATGCTTTCACGGTAGTCCATTTGTTGATGTGGGGCTCTACTAGCTCATTTTTTAAATACGCTTATATACAGAAAGAGCAATATATCTCACTGTTTGTGTAAATTAGCTGTCTGTCGTATCGTTTTCACTGTTCTGAAACCACTCTAAAGACAGTTACCAATTCGACCGAGATATCCAGCGATTGTCACTATCTAATCAATATCTGTTTGGCGGGTTCCGTCAGCTGCTTCTATCCTAGTTTACAAACCGGATCTTTATGTTAAATCAATTCATCCAAATTGACCCAGTTGTTATGGCCTTTCGAATGTCCAGCTTGGATTATTGAGTTCGTCATGGGTCGTGATTTATTATTGATTTAGTCAAGTTTTTAGTCTCTGTCAGTTAACGGTAATCGATTCATTTTTGATGTATATATATAATTTTCAAAATAGACCTACTATCCTCGTTAAACGAAATCAGTAATTTTTACGGCATGACAATTGGATTATGGATTCCATATTATAGTGAAGTGTGGTATTGTATGAAAAACTAAAGAATTTTGGAATACTGTATACATGTACAACCTTTGCATATAGAGTAAAATGCCGTTGTTTTTATCGTTGTCTGCAAAAGTTCCAATCTAAACCCGTATGATTATGAGGTGAACTAGAACCAACATCCTTATGACTTCGGTACACGAGGTCTGAACGACCTTATCTTGTATTTTTACACTACATTAAGGTATAGCAAGATCATGTTCATACGAAACTACGTATGGTTCTTATATGGAAATATCACACACGAACATAGTCCAAAGCCATTTCGAATCACTAGCTCGACTTAATACTTCAGCAACACCTTCAAATAACATTAAAGCCAAGTGATTTTGCTGAAATATTACAGACTTCTTAAAAATTCGACTCATTAAGTCAAGGTAGAGATTCAAAATGGTTGTGAACTACGTTCGTGTGTTTTTCCATCTAAGAACCACATGTAGTTTCATATGGATCATGTTTAGACCAGAATAGATTATACATGTCTGCTTGGAAATTGATATCAAAGCTTAATGACTTACGCTCTGCATGGATTGAAATGTACAATAGTAGCCTAACGTTACTAAAGACAGGGAAGTGATTTCGAGAAATGCAATATTTTAAAACAGTTTAGAAATAACGTGTATTTGTAACGTTTTGAAGTGACGAAGTCTCCAGTAATCAAAAGTATTGGCTATTTTGATTGTGTTTTAAGGTCCAATGTTCCAAATAAGAGCCTGGGTAAGATAGGTAGGCTACCCAATACTATGATGTCTGTTATATATGTTATATTTACTGAAAACATTATTTGTGATGAAGTCATGTGGAAATCGTAATAATGATAATGATAGCATCAATGAACATTATCGTAGTGTTATGTTTATGTTGGGCATGTACTGAATCAAGTAAGTATCTTGTCTTTGATATAACAATTTTTTGACTTAAATGCTTCGAAGACGAAAAATCAATGATGCAAGCTAACTGACGCTACAGGAATATCATTTTACATACATTTCCTTTTTGGAAACAACCGTCTACCATTTTAACTGTTTTAACACTTTACTAAAGTCGGATATGACGTTACTTTCCTCTAATTTGTTGTATACGGAGACGTAAAATCGGAATAAGCATTCTACAAGATAGAATAGGAATAAGCGTGGAGATAAGTGTATTTTCATCATCGCAATATTCCCATAGCATCAGTAAGCTTATATCATTGATTTTTCGTTTGTGATTCAATTAATGGAAAATGGAAAAAAACACCTTTAAAATTGGCTTTGACAGCAACTGTATGAAACAACACATTAATTAGGTTCAGATCATAGCTCTTTGAGAGCAAATCAATCAAGCTTTCCTCTAATTAAAACATAGGTTATCCACAATAATTATTTTGTTCATCAAATTTAACACTTATAGATACACAAAACCTGTGATTACAATTTATATTTTTATATTTTAGCTATGATGGTGTGTAAAAATCAAACAGAGATGACTAATTTAACAAGTTTACAATTACCACACACTTGTAATGATTGTTCCTGCTCTGTAACCTCAGCTTCTGGAAAGTTAATAACATTATCAATAGAAAGGATATTCAGCATCAGTTGTTTTGTTGTTGTCTATAACAACAGTACTGAGCATTTTCATACTGGTAACACTACAATTTTTAATTATACACTGGAAGGAGTAGGAAAAGTCATCTTGAAATCAGTAGATTGTCAGAATACGTCAAGATCAACTATATTACTTAGTTCACAGGATGGAGGTTGGTGCACAATTTTTTCTTTTGGTGGGGCGGACGTGAGGATTTCTCAACCTGAAGGTTGTAATATTACCCAAACCGACAGGAATATGACTGGTAGAACTGTAAATGTTCAGTACCCAATTAGCTTGTTTCGCTTTGTGCATGAGCCCAGTAACCCTCTGAACCGACACTAATAACGGCCATTATCTATTTTTTTTTATTAGATATGAATATAAGCTGTAATCGTATACATGCGGATAATAATCACAATTGTACTACAGTGGAAGAGACTACAAATGTAGTAAAAAATAGTGCAATCGGTAGAAAAATATGTAAGTGTGAGATTTATATTTTCAGTGTTATTCCATTCAGTTCGTCACACTCGATGAATGATCATTTCTGCGGAGGGTTTCTGGTGGTAATGGTATTTTTATAAAATGTGGTTTGTTATTTGCGCCAATTGTAGCAATACTGGGTTTTGTTAGTGCCAATGATAAATCTTTTTTGCCAGCAGTATCGTGTGGAAATATCACCAACATCAGATATTAGGATTTTGAACATTACCAATTTCACATGATGGATCATAAGAAAGTTTCAACAACTGTCTTTTTTTTCTTCCAAAGACAGTTATTGTTCCTTGCAGAATAAACAATACAAACACCATTCTACCAAATAAGACATCTCAATCGAAACCAAACGTTTTGGATTGATTGCTGTGTTTTTTTATTTACAGATGTAAGAATCCTGGGTGGTTTGATTGGAGGTGCTATTTGGATTATCTCCCTAATTGTGATGGTTTTATGGTAAGGTTTGTTTCTTTTGTTACCATAATTAATAAGTCCCAACCATTATATAAGGGATCCAACATGTAGAATAAAAGATGAATATTTTTCCCAGAAGTTAACACATCGCTTGCTGTCCTAGAAATAGAAAAATTTCTTCACCATTCCTTCTCCACTCACCTGTTGTCTTTATTTAAAACGTCTTCGACTATTATAGCTTATTAATGCTGACAGAAAAATTATATTTTGCAACGAGAAATCAAGTCATAATATTTGTTGTTTCTATTCCAGTATTGTAAATCATAAAGAAAGCAATTCGCGGTCCAGTAGTTACAGAAAAAATTCTCTTGGAAGCTCAAGTTACGGCGAGCATTCCAGTGATAGACGTACTAGTTCAGTAACCACTCTAACAGAACAGATTGAAAGTATCCCCAATGACGTGTAAGAAGGAGGTGATAGTTTATTTACAGACCAAAAATGGGACGAAACCATTCCCTTTCACAGAAGGAAGCGATGGTATTGTGAAAAATATGAGCGAACAAAATTCAACAAAACCTTGCTTTACTTTGTGAAATACATGTATTAACGCCAATCCCAATGATATCTTCAACGGCTAGTCCACAAGAACTATATGACCAGTTCAAAATAATTTATGCTTGAAATTTATACGTAATGCATGTAATACTTTTCCAAATGAATAATATACTCTTTATAAATTAAAAAAATGATTAGGATTAAGAACAGTTTTTCCATATCCTTTTATAAAGTAAATGGTTCTAAAAATTTCACATTTGAAAATGTCCAGATAGCTGTAAAAGAGGATTTCTCCTGTCCTACAATGTTATATTTTATATAAAAAAGAAGGCTCTACCTGTTTCAGATTTTCTGGATATATGACAACATTTCATCAACATAGTCATGTCTCTTGCATTGATATACCGTAGCATTATTGTTACATATCTGGTTCAGCGAGCAGTTCAACAAGGTTGATATGAATAAAATCCGTACAAGCAAACAATTCCAGTAACCAAAAAAGTATTTGAAACCAATCAAATTGTGTTTCGGTTTCGATATCATCCCACACTTCTTTATTTACCGAAGATTCGGGTTTTACATGAGATGCTTTGATTGGTTTAAAATACTACATTTGAGACAGGCCTTTGGTAGAAAACATTTAAGATTACAATAATTATAGACAACTTTAAAACTTAATTTTAATGAGATGGAAGGGTATACTTGGTAAAGGTTGTAATGTCATCCTAAGAATCAAATTACTTGTTACACAGTGACTTGTATATAAAAATAGACCAATATAATACATGAAATCTGAAAAAATCATTAACCGTGAATTTCCTTATAAAATGAAACTCGTCACTTAGTTCCTTCTCTTCAAATCATTGAACCATGTAGAGAGGCAGGATAGAGTTTGCTCGGTGGTAAGTTAATACTAAATCCCCTCAACCCTTTCACGCACGCAGCACATCATCCACTATATAAGGTTTTCCCAACAAACGGGGTCTTTTTCTTCTGACACTACTCCAGCGGACAACTGTCAAAATATCCACCAGAGGCTGGAATAGAGGCAGATGTTTCGGACTATCTTGTATGAGCTAGAGTTACGTAGTGCATGTACAATATTTGGTTACAGTATTAGGAATACATTGGTAAGAATTTAATCATTTTGTAAATCTTGCTATCAACGTATCTCAGTCTGCAGAAGTACTATAATTACATAATCCCTTAAACATACCTCTGACTAGAAATTTCACTTTTTATATAATATTTCGTTTACAAGTTTATTCCAAGGTTTATTAAGGTCTAAAAGATAAAGTAGTAATGACATCGCTGTACAATACTTTGATTTATCAAGTCTTTAACCGCTCTTCAAATTGAGAGTCTTATAAAGACGACTCGTTCAATAGGAACGCTAAAACTTTGATGGTTAGCTATGAATACTATTGCTGATTATTTTAGCGGAAGAATTCCCGTTTTTTTTCAGTCCCAAGGTTTAATTAACTTCCGAAAATGGCGAACTTCTCCCTTTAAAACAATTCTTTTGTCAATGTGTCGTAAAAGGTTGTAAGAATTTGTATTCCAGAAATCCGACTTCGAATATTGATGTTGCTATTATAGGTTTCGTCGGAAAAGAAAGGAGAAGAATGAGATGTACTCTCCTCCTACAACTAGAGAAGAAGATCATGCGTATGCCACCATAACTCCAGGTACTGGGGTCGAGGACCGTAATACCACAGAGGAGACTGCACACACCTCCAATAATACCAGTTCCATGGGAGAAGACAGAACAAAGAACAATCCATCGGTCACTTACCAAAATGTAACAAACAATCCGTATTTACATGTTATCTAACGGTATAGAATATATTGGAACTCTGTTTGAAAAGCTCAATATATGTACCAATAATAATATTACCTTTGTGAATACTCCGATAGATGTCTATGTTACAAGCCAAATCGCACAGTGACATCATAAATGTGTTATTCCAGTAGCTGATCAAGTCCTGGCTCGTGTGATGCAAGCTCCGTGGTACTCATCTTATAAGGATTTAGTAGCGTAAGAGATTTTTCTGTTGGTCTACTGGACTTATACGGTTTTCTCTTTGTTACCTCTACACCACCACTGTGTTGAAACGTGTACATTATTGCTAACGGCAAAGTACTATATAAAAAATCCTCTATATTATTGCCATTACGTCGTAAACCGTCATTATTTTATTTTTTTGATGACACAAACGATAAAACTTATCGAAAATATTTCATGAGTTATTGCCCTTTTCTTTCAAACTTTTTACTATGTTTAATTTCCTGGCTGATTTTGACGAAACCTTGTGAATAATCGAAAATATAAATATACTTGAATTATATCAAACATGAGCTGTAGCCAATGTTTTGGAAAGCATGGTTGATTTTCTGCCTCGTAATCACAAAAGGATGCACAATACCCAAGGGTGAACCCTATTGAATATCATGAAAATTCAAAAATATGAAATAGAATATTGAATGATATTAAGGTGTTAAGCTCTCGATGAAATAAAAATAACATAGTTTTACTTCCTTCATTTTGGCTTGCAAGCTATCTTTTGATGAATCGTAAGTAAAATTAAATGAATGGAGTTTAACGTCATACTTTTCTGCACCTTGTGGGCTAATGAAGACGGGTTTCGTGAATAGTAGTGGTATCTTAAATTAAACGCTACGTAGCGAGATTCATAAAAAAGAAAAGAAATTGTAAAGTTTGAATTATGTCCCTTTATTAGTGGGTGACGTTATCTTGCTGTTTTTTTTAAATACATTAAAATAAAAAAAAATGAACGACCGACGCAACCATTACCTGGCTTTAATATTTCAACCTAGATAGATAAACATAATATTAAGGCACAGTGTTTCCCACCAATTGTAGAAACACCTTAACATTACCTTTAAATATGTATATCGAACTAGGAAGTTATATTCATGTAATATAGACTACGTTTATTCATAATTTCATCTGTACAAACCTGTTCTGTTGTGTGAATATATTTATGTATTGGAGTACGATACTAATTATTGTGATAAATAGAATGTGGCTGCTAGCTGAGGAAGGAAGGGGAATTTGAAAACATGATTTTGATATTGTTGCTGTCCAGTTTGACTATTATAACTGGTGAGTTTAAATCTTGTCACATGATAATAAACCGCGTTTATATTTACACATCGATAAAATTCACCTACACTTATATTCATGAAATAACACTATTAATGTTTCTAAATACACTCTTATGACATGGTGAATTATACGTGTATACATATTTACCCAGAAGCATACTGTATTGAACCTAACCTTGTTTAGTTTGTGTAAAGTCACAAGAACTTACAAAAATACCATCTCCATTATTTCATACAATTGTATAGGCTACAAAACAAAAAGCTCAAAACAGCAAACGGTGCACACACAAAAAAAGAAAAAAAGTGGTTGAAATGTTAATACGGTAGATTGGACAGAAAATGGTATATTTTCATGCCATGAGATGCCCCTGACTAATCGCTGCTGACCCTTGCACCCGAAAACGATTATGAAAGTGGTATACAAGAGCAGTACAAGTCCTCCCAATGTATATCTCAGTCTAATAGAATGCAAGATACCCCAAAATAGATAACATCCAATCTTGTATTCTAATTTATTTTAAAAGGTTTATATATTTCTTACCCACTTTTAGTAGCTTTTATGGACTTTAAGGTATCTCGGTACATTTGACAACTTTGTGTGACGTATAATTTCTGTCTACCCAAAATATCGTTGAAATATCTAGATTTATGTTTCCTGGCACATTCCGGAGAAGAACATTTCGTTGGTCACTCTTTGAAGTATCCACAATGACAGGATTGGTTGTTGATCAGATCTGAACAGATCGTGTTTCAGAGAACTTCCATATAACTATGCCTCTGTGAAAGATACAATAACTTTTATGAAATCAGATCAATTTGTATTTGATTATTCCAGGTGGACCAGTTTCAATGTGTAAAAATGACACATACACTGCTACCAATTATCAACTGAATAGACTACATTATGATCCTATAAATTGTACCTGTTTATTGAAATCTACAGAACAAACTTTTACTCAGGTTTATTTTAACATGACCTCCATATCAGGCTGTGGATATAAACTCGGATTTTACTTCAATACAAAATTTGCTTTTGTTTCGTGTTATTCTTCTACCTCCTTATTTCATACTATAACATCAGAGACAATCAAATTAAATCTAGAACGATATCATAGGAACAGTGAAATGACAACATTTATCATTAATATCATTTCAATGCCAGGTAAGTTCGTTCAATGAACAAACGGTAAACATGTGACAACAAGGTTATCTTATCAGCAAAATTGTGTTCAACTTATTGACACAATGGCACAGTAGCCAGTAATTGGAGAGCAGTAATTGTTATTGCATGTACCTATGTAACAACGAAAATAGTTCAACACATCTAGAAATAAAGACCCTGAATGTATCATTGGGCTCATATCTTAGCTGCAGGAACGACACTTGGAGATAAGAAACTACTATTGTCTGAGACAAGTGAAGAGTTTTTAAAATTTTTTAATTTTTATGAGAATTGGAATAGCAGCCTCAAACTAGTACTGTTTGTCTTAGAATGTTATTTCGTTGACAAAATATAAACATGAGCACATAATTATGTCTTCAAAATTTTTAACAGTGGACAATTTTCAGAGTTTTTTTGGTTGAAATTTATAGGAGTGAAATGAACTAACATTACTATTTTGACGCTGATATTCCAATTCTCATAAAGATATAGAAACAATTCAAAAAACTTTTTGATTCGCTCAGACAATAGTACTTATATTCGAGTTTAGATGATAGGTCAAATTGTGTTACTTATATTCATAGATACATGAATCTAAAGTAGTGGTGATGCCCTTACATTCAGCATGAGATTAAACCATGATAAAATTATCATTTGATACAGAGAAAGAGAGCCACTGTTGGATAAATCGACCAGTTCGACTTGAATTTTAATTTTTAATTCATTCAATTCCGTTTTAATATTTTAGAGACAAATCTTACGTTGTCATGTTTCGTACCGACATTAGAAAGTTCCTCTACACAGCTACCTACTACAATCATTACTTCGATACCTACTACACCAATACCAACCAATTTTCAGTCTAAAACAATGGTGTCAAATACATCGACTGAAAGCACTCAACTTCAACAAGTAACATCAAAATCATCAAGTTCTCATCAACAGAATATCATTATAACAACCAATTCAGATGAACAAACAACACTGAATACAGAACAACTGAAACATAAATCGCCAGAAAACGGTAACCCTCTATTTACTATACAACTGTGAAAAGACTCTAAACCGACATCACCTATTGGGAAATAAAACTATATATGTAGACAAAAAATTCCTTTTTTCCATGCATCCAGTGGAGAATTTAGGCCCGTAATGCGCCCAACCTTTCGAGCAAGTATAATATACATCTATCAATTTCAGATGGTACAGTAGGAATAGCAGTTGGTTGTTTTGTTGGTGGAATAGTATTTGGTATTGTAGCAGTATTAGGATTACAATGGTATGAATTTTATCAGTTTGCAAAACTAGTCAAATATTTGCTACCAACGTAGTTAGCATTGTCTATGTGCTCAAAAATTGATTGCACTACGACGGCCCAACGAGCACAGCCTTTATCACATGGGGGTTCGGTTTATTGCTCTATTCGAACGACTTGACGCGTGTCACTGGCCAGCCACTCCGGTCTGCATCACCAACAGGGAAAACCTGGCGCTCAAATAATAGATAGTTCTTTTTATGTCTTTCAGACAATTTCATCGCCAATATGTGTCGTATTTGAAATAAGTAGTCTAGAACATCCAATTGCTGTTTTAGGTTTCGTAAGAAACGAAATGAGAAGAATGAGATGTACTCTACTTCTACAATTAGAGAAGAAGATCATGGGTATACCAGTATAACACCTAGTAGTGGAGTCATCGGGAATACACGTACAGTAGAAGAGACTGCTATAGGAGAAGCACTAGAAGCCCCTAATTCCACAGGAGAAAACAGAACAAGCAATCCTACGGTCACTTACCAAAATATATCACTGAACGCTTCTTAACTATATCTTTATTTTAATTAAAGTAAAATACTATTTTGGCGTCACCCATGCAGTCCGTCAGCCTTCCGTCAATACTTAAACAATAGAAGGAATAATTCTTAAAAAATCATTCGTATGAGTTATTGCCCTTGTTCTTTGTTTTTAATTTTTCCTGACTGACCAAACTTTGAGAAATTATTTATTATCACCCAAGGATTAACCTTATCAACAAAGAAGGAAAATATTTGAGTTGAGTTCTTTCCCTTGTTCTTCAAAACACGTTCAATTTTTAACTGGTAAATATTGAAAAAGGCACAATATTATAGATAGATAGTAATGAAATTTAGGGAAATTGTATATCATGAATCGAGAAGGGATTCAAAAATTTGAAAAAATCGAAAAATATTTAATGAGTTACTGTCCTTGTTATCGAAAGGGGGTTGTTTCTAGTTTGTAAACATTTTAGAGGACAATTCATGGGAGATTAGGACGGAATTATCTCGTAAGAAAGAATTGAAAACCAAGCAAAACAATTTGAATGAAGTGTATGATTGAAGGTTGAATATTTCATACCGGTGATTGTTACTGTTCTGCCAAATGTTCTGTCAGAACTTTCATAATGCCAGATAATAGATTTTATGCAAAATGGACGGTGATCTCTATATAGTAATCACTTGGTGTCCAATTATGTTTGTTTCAGTTGTTATAGGAAGGTCCAGTGTAAGTTAGTTAACTAAACAGGGTTCTTTTTATGATTTTATTGTAGGTCTAAAACAAACAAAAAACTCAAACATGTACACAGAAAAAACAATTATCTAGAATAAAAAAATATAAAAAAATAAGAACTATTGTAAATTCTCCATAAAGATGACATCGAGATCGTTCGTACTAATACACGTTTTCTCTGGGTCCGTTGCCAATTAGAACAACAAATTGTACCACGGTCAACATACACGTGATGTTTATGTACGTAAATATACTTGTGGAGTGAACCAATTCAGACAAACAGATCTCATCTTTTGACATGTGCTTGAATGGTATAGCCTTGATAAGCATTATTCCAGCAGAGGTGATGGTCGGAAGTACCGACATCAAAAGAACGATTATGATAATGGAATGGTTTGATAACGAAGACCAGGGTGTGCAGGTTTAAATAAAAAATCCGGTACCTAAAGATGGAAAAGGAGCAGATTAGTGTAGTTTGTGGGTCGTATCCGAATTTCATTAGTTGCATAGCCAAAATTTGTTTCGTTTCGTTTCAATATAATTTTGTGAATTTTTCTTTTTGTCATCATAAATGACGCTTACACGTTTGTTACACTAATTCACTTTTGTTTTTCAAGATTAAATTTGACGTATTGCAAATGAAAAGATACAGTATTAAAGTAGGAAACCAAAAGAATATTTCCTTTTCGAACGGAAGATAACCAACTTTTAAAATTAATTGAAATCAATCTTAATTCAGGATGGTAATGGTTTATCGTACCCAGTTATTTTTCATCATATTTTTTTCGTGTTCTGTCGCGGCTTCAGGTAAGTAGACTTATTATCATTTATCGAATACCTCAATACCATGATATCAACTGTTCGGTTGTGTCTGTTTAAGTACTTTTGTTTTGGGGTGTCGTATTAAGCTTGGAATACAGGTTTAAGACATCAGGGCAAATTAAATCTGCCATTGCTTATTTTTCTTGTTCTTGTAATTGATGTTTCTAACGAATAAATCAAGTACTCTTGAGTGCTAAGATTGTGTGAGGATGTAGAAAAGCTTGGGGATTAAATTGACTGAAATGCGATTGAAAAAGCTAAAAATAGATTTCTGACTAGAATAGATTGTGATAATCTAGCCACATTCTCGTATAACAAATTGTTAGCCAAACCATGTTTAAAAGACATATTTGTAAGTTAGGAATAATGTAATTAGATACACTGTGTATTTAGAAAATAAAAAACATCGTCTTTTCCCTAGAAACATAACCATTGAAATTTAAAACCTTTCGGTTGGTATTTGGCTGTTTTGGTAATGTTCGGCTGTAAAAAGTCACACATGGAAATGGAAATTCTGAGACCTGATTATGTTTATTAAGTGACTTTTCACAATCATTAGAATACCTCTGCTTTCGATTTATATAAGTTTTAGCCGTTCAATAATGGAATACATATATAAATAAATGAAAATAAGGGAACCGAACTTTAAGGGCAAGTCCTCCGATTTGAAAATTATAGTAACTAACAAAAAACTTTAAATTCCGTGTCTTTCAGGGTTCCATAGTCACAATTATTAATGGCTATAACAATCACACGTTTGTCACAACCAATAAATATGTCCAATTGCCCTCCACTGTATAATCTGAACAATAATGGCCAAATTCATCAGGACACATTCAGAATAAATGCATTTTTCTAAATTGTTGGAGTTGTAGGGCTTTTTAAGATTTGTAAAGTCAATAATTTTAAAAGAATTATAACAAAACTAAAACATTTTAGGAATTGCAGGACGGTCAGCCCTTTTAATTGATAAATTGAATCTTCCGACAGTCTAAAATCTTAATTAAGACAAAAAGTTCGTTCTGCATTTTATCAGCCTTTATTTTTAATATAGCTACTTCACTTAGGGTCTACCGACAGCCCTCTTGAACGTTCTATAAATTAACTTTTAGACCTAACCAGATAAACACCGCGTTACATTATGCCAGCGCTGGAAAGGGTAGAAATTTGATTTGCTAAAGCAGACGTCACTGATAAAATATAATAAAATGGAAGCTGATGAAAAAAGGAAAGAATGTTTAATTAGAATGTTCTGTCAATAGAAAACGTTCGATCTGTCCAAACTGCATTATTTTGCATTTACCCATGTCCAAAATTTTATCGACCTAATCAAGATTTTCTTAAGCTGTTGTCTTGCCTGGTCTGGCCTGCCATCGTCTGGAGGTGCTGATCTGGGTTGCATGGAGTTATAACGTTGCCAAAATTGCCGATGTTGTTGCAACTGTAAAATATCAATGTCGTCAAGACGACGGAATAGTACGGAAATTTATAAATGTGCATGAGCAATAAATTCTTCCTGACGGTTAATGACGGTAATAAAGGAAGTTACTCTAAACTTTAAGATAAAGAAATTTAACAAGTACGATCTTAAAAGTTTTCAATTTTAGTTTCCTTGTGCATGAGCCATGAAAGTGGGCATTGGAAGACACTCGTGGTAATATTATTTTCGTTAGTACCGACCTTGACCGTCAGGAAGAATTTATTACTAACGCATATTTATAAATTTCCGTAGATTTCCGCTTTCTTTTTACGTATGCAAATGAATACGTCATCATTCCATATAAGGTATATGTTCGATTATGTAAAGTTTTTTATGCAAAGTGTATGATGCAAAGTGTCTAATGCAAAGTGTAAAATGTTATCTGCATTCATGTAGCATTTCATTGGATTTTAGAGAATACTTATACATTTTGGATTTTTACATATCGACAATTAAACTTTGCAGCATTGACAAATGCATTTTGTAATGACAACATTGGTATTTTTAGCTGGAACAGAATCAACAATGTTGGCAACGTTATACCTCCATATAGCTGGAACCATTATGAGGTTTTATCCAGATCATTGTGAGCACAATTTTCTTTTTAGATTCCATGGTATCCATCTGTCAAAATTTCACAACTGTTGCGACAAAGTTTCTTTTGGGTAGATCTAAATCTGATTTTGCCGACTGTACCTGCACACTTGCATCTACAAATAATAAGACAAATAAAGTAAAAGTGAGTAACGCTCCATTAGATGGCTGTCAGTATAGACTTCTAGTTGAATATGAAGGACGGCACTCCTACTATTCTTGTGATACTAAGAAGTCTTGGACTACAACTGTTACCATGGTCACAGAGATTTTTAATTTCAAAGTAGAACCATACAAACCAACAAATGATGGAGTTAAGTTTACTTCAAATATCACGTCATTATCAGGTTATTATATTTGTTTTTTTACGAAATATAATTGAGCCCTTCCTTTCGTCCATTCATAAGGCGTATTAAGCTCGTGTTACAATGGCCATAAAATATATGCAAATATATGCGAATGTCTTTTGTGACCCCAAGCCGATATGCACTATTTATTTTAAAGATGGGACTGAGTTTACTTTGAATATCACGTCATCATCAGGTAACCCCATATGACCATATAGAACGTGTATTATAACGGAATTCAACAAACCTATTGTGCAGTGCGAAAGGGGTATAAATATTACAGAGATTCATATCATTGATATTTTTATTTCATATCATTTAAAATTAGATACATATTATACATTGAACACGTCGACACCCAAACAAATGACGTTATGATACTAAATCTCTAATTCTCTTCAGATGCTAATCTAACATTGACTTGCTTTAAACCAACACTAACAACAACAAAACAGCAGCTTTCTACTTCAACATCAACCCAGCAGCCTTCTTCTACAACATCAACCCATCAGCCTACATCTACAACACAATGGACATCATCTACCACAACACTTCCATCAACTACTAATACAACCAATGGATTAGTTGTAACTGACACTGCAGGTATACAAATACTTTTGCATATCAGTCTTTTTATGTTTATTATGAGGAATCAGTCATAATTGGTAAAGTATTTCATAATAAAAAAGGTGTCTAGAAGAGTAAGGATTCGATGCGATTGAACATTTATTGTATTATATTTAGTTATTACGTATGGTATTGGTATTGGTTGTTTTACTGGAGGAATAATAGTTGGTGTTGTATGTCTCCTTGGAATCATACGGTAATATAATTGAGTTTATATACGTGCATATTCATCTTTTTTAGACCCGATCCTCGGTAGATTGAAGCCTGCAGGTTTCCGACATTTTTGCAAAAGTGCAGCCGAAATATGATCGGGTACTATCGAGACAGAAAAATAATCTTTGTGAAATGGGGGTATAAGTAAATAAACACTCGTACGAAACTCCATAGCTTCGCTGATTGATCCAAAAAGAACATCTAAGGTTTTCCAGACTACAAGCTATCGCGGAAGGTGTGAGTATCAGTTCAAATTTGCGTTTACACATAAAAATCAAGAAACTATGTTACTCTTTCTAGGTTTAGACGAAGTCGAAAAGAAGAGAAGAACATCTACTCAACTACATTCAGAAATGAACAAGAACTTCATACATACGCAGAGGCCGGTAATACAGAAAACCCTGAAAACAGAACTAAAAATGCTTACATTGGTCCACAAGTTCCACATGAGTCTGTTTATGAAAATATATCCAAATAACAATGTTTACATTATGAAAGCTACTTGCTGTGGATATTCTAATGTTATGTAATCGTCTAGCTATATGCATTGAGTCTTTATGACTACAAGAACAATATAGTTTTAACCAGTGGTGGCGCCAGTGGGAAAAGAAGGGGATGCGCGCTAGAAAACTGGTTTGCACCCCCCTAATTTGCACTGAAGGTACACACCTATTGGAAGTTGTTGTGTTCCAAATTTCAGCTTCCTATCTTGAAAACTCTGCCAGTAACAGCACTTTTGGTCTCAAACTTTTTCCCGAAACCAAAAAATACGCGATTTTCCTCTTGAAAATTGGGGTAAAACTTCAAAGTCGATTTTCTCAAACGTTTTCAAAAATTCCAAATTTCTGCTATTGTACCCCGAATCTCGGGAGCTTGGCGCCGCCACTGTATGTAACATTCTTGATATTTTTCAAAGACTAATATAAATCTAAGAAGCCTGAAAGAATCGAATAAAAGTAGGATTCTACAACCGCATAAAGAGCTATCTGAAGCTACATACGATACATGGTTTACGTCACTTCCTCTTATGAATCATATTTATCTTTCTGTTTCACCTTTCTTGTATGTACATGTATATTTCTTTATGTATTGCGCTTGCTTTCGTGTAGATTCTCGTTAAATTTATTATCAAAGTCGAGTGTCTTTTAATTTTCACCTAAGTGTAATTTTTCATTAAACACTAGATAATTTAGTTGATGGCATTTGCCCCATGAAAAATGGTTTGCACTCCGTATTCTATCCTCACTGTATTTTCAGCAAATTTAGAAATATTAAATTTAGCCCTGTTTGCTCCAAGATATATGTCAGAAAGCACCAAATGAATTCAATTTTTCGAAAATTTTCTTGAGAAACCCCTTCTCATTCTATGAGAAGATTGCGACTATAATGCCGTATTTTGAATCCAGCCTGGGTAGTTGTCCCCCCATTAAGTGTCAGTTTGTCCAACTTTTTTACAATCCGGGTCTCGGGAGGCTAGCACGACCGCTGAGTGAATACGAGATTGAATTTTTTTGTTGATTCCCTCTGTGGGTTATTCAGATCAATGAGGTTCTCTTTGAACGGTTGATTTCATTCTCGCATGGAGATGCTGTTGTTGCCGATTTAGCAGCGATATTAATAGTCACAAGTGTAAATATAACAGTAATTCTTGTTGAAATATAATAGAAAGACAAGGGTCAGGGGAGATATAGTTTTCACTTATAAGAAGGAAGGATATACACTATTTATGGTTTCCTTTTATCTGAAAGAAGATTTTTTTTTAAATCTATAAAAGAAGGCAATCACAAGAATAAAACCGACAAAATTGTTAAAAATCGTTTTTTAAAAAAATACCATAAGCACACACAAGTGACTTCGGGATACAAACTGTTATAACAATGAGACTATTTACTTGTTTCATTGTTCTGGTATTACCAATATATCAAATAGGTAAGTAAAGCTTTACAGCTATCTAATGTTAGCTATCGCAAAAAATAAATATGTTAACTGCATCAAACTACAGTATTTTCCAAAAAAAATGTGAAAGGGTTTTAAGAATTTTAAGAAACAATTACACCATATTTTGAGAAAAATCCGTCAAGAATTCAAGAGTGATTACGGACCAATGACATTTTTTTTCTTTACCTTTTTTATGCACAGACAAAATTTTTGTAATATTTAACTTATTTAGACAAACTTTTTATTTTAGGTTCCATGATAACTATTTGTCAAAATGTCACAATTGTTGCAACAGAATTTCGTTTGGGTATAACTAGATCTGATTCTACGGTTGCTCATGTACCCTTGGATCTATGGACAATAAGCAAAATACGGTGGAACTGCGTAACTCCCGAGTGAATGGCTGTCAGTATGGCCTACGGGTTGATTATAGTGGATGGCATATCTACTATTCTTGTGATACTCAGAAGATATTTACTAAAACTTTACTACAGACAAAGAGAATTTGATTGTGAAACTGGAACGATACAAACCAACAAATGATGGAACAGAGTTGACTTTGGACATTACGTCATCATCAAATAAGTTTTTCCATACATAACATATATCGCAATGAGATATTTCGAAGGCAAGGGGTACCATCTAAAAAATTGTTAGACCAGCTACATCGACTGAGATTAACAACCACGACCACTATTGTTTTGTTTATAGTCCTTTAGCGACATTTAGGGGTAGAGATCACATTAAATAACGGACACAATTTTATGGTACACTATTCCATTTCAACAACCTACATTGTAATCTTCAGATGAACCAAAGAATATGGTTCTAGCGCTCTAACCCCTACTGTGTCCGTCTTTAAAGGGGCGAATGTAAATTTTCATTATCAAAAATGTCATAATTCAGACTTGAAAATATTTCTAAAATATGCTATTAGGATTATGTATCTACTTGGTCAAAGTGAATTTTTTTTTAATAAGAATTAATTGAAAACAGAGCTTTGACCTAGTTTTGGTGTTTGGCTTTAAAACGGTTTGATATTATTAGTTGAAACCTTTAGAATAAGTAGGAAATTTATTTCTCTACAACTTGGCGTTTATTTTGCTTCAACAAATACAATTCTCTTTGAAAAAAAACTAAAAGATTAACATTTTACCAAAGCTCTGTTTCCCTTCAGATTCCAATCTAATATTGACCAGTTTTATGCCAACACGAACAACATAAATCCAATTGCCTTCTTCCACAACACTACCATCAAGGGTGGATACAACCAATGGATTACTTGTTACTGACACTGTATTGAGAGAAACTGAAGATTCCGATGTCGAGCTGATGAATACTAAAAGTTTTATGAATAAAGGTAGTACAATTCCTTAGTTTTGTTCTTGTTGTGTATCATAAAGACTCTTTTCATGTTTCCTGGTCCAATACATTCTATAATACACGTTCATAAAATTGTTAGAAGAATTCTTAAGAATACTTAAAGGGACAGATGCACCATTTTTAGTGGTTGATTTGCGTCTGGAAAATATGTAAATAGTCTTCAGTAGTACTAGAAATGTATGAAAATCGGATTGTTCCTTCAAAAATATAAGAATTTTACTCATTAAGCCTATATATCACAGGGTATTACGAGTTCATATCGTTTTTATGAACCCGTGTTATGAATCTGAGAACAGTACTGTTGTGTGATAAAGATTTATTGTATTATATTTAGTTATTACGTATGGTATTGGTATTGGTTGTTTTACTGGAGGAATAATAGTTGGTGCTGTATGTCTCCTCGGAATCATACGGTAATGTAATTCAGTTTATATACACTTGAAATCCATTGACTCACTGATTGATGAAGTTCCACCAAACCAGGTTTGGTGGTACATTGATATATTTCAGTACAGTTTGTACCAGAACCAGAAAACCGCTCGAATATCCAAATCCACATTAAATTAAGTATAATTACTAAATTTTCGTTTATCCATAAACATTTTACTGCACTTTTCCCATGTGAAATGATATTCTTTTAAGGTTTAAACGAAGTAAAAATGGAGAAAGGAACAACTACTCGTTTACACTAAAAAATGAGGAAGAACTCAAAACCTACTCAGATGCTGGTGATGTAGGAAATATTCAAAGCATAACTAAAGCAGCTTACAATGGTAGGCCTACAGTTCCACAGGAGTCTGTTTATGAAAAAGCCTAGATATGTAGAAACCTTTCATAGGGGAACTAAAATATCTTACATTGGTCAAGTTCCACAAGGTTCTATATATGAAAATATATCTAAATAACAATACCCAAGAGCTCAAAGGCAGTTGGCATTTTAGATTCGTATGGACGCTCGTTTCTGCTTAACATCTAAACATAAAAAAACTGAGACTTGTAGTGGTAACAAATTTTTTTATTGTATATTACAAACATAATCTCCAAAGTTTTCACATTGTAAGTAGCGATGGGACAATAAACCATTTTATGTTTTACTTAATAAAACCCCGGATGTTTTCATATGCAAAATAGACGGAAATAAACGAATATTGAAGAATTTTATGGTATGGTGGTGCAGTACCAATTTTCAAAATGGCGGACAAAATTGGCGTAAATATGAATTATCTGAAATATAATGTCCTGATAACTGTATAAAATAACCAAAATCAACTTCCTTTTCATAATCTATTCTAACAGTGTGATTATAATATTAGTCATAATATATGTGTATCCTTTTACTTTTATATTATTTGTCCAGTTTAAAGGGATTGTAAAGAGGTTTTCTAAACTTTTTATATGTATCGGGGACACTGATAGCATCAATTTGCACCATTTCAATTTTCATTCCGACGTCTATGGTTCTTGCAATTCCACTAAAACTAACACGTTTTATGACGTCACTAGAGGGGAACTGCATAGATATTAATAGTAGTTTCCGGTAGATCCCCTACGTCATAAAACGCGTTAGTTTTAGTGGAATTGCAAGAACCACAGACGTCGGAATGAAAATTGGAATGGTGCAAATTGGTGTAAACCTCTTTACAACCCCTTTAATACTTACGCTATCAGGGCCTAATAATTAATTACTTACTTATTATAGTCATAGTTCAGACTTTTTCTAAGTTTTCACCGTCGACCAATTTGTAAATGAATAGGGGTCATCTGGCAAAGACTTACGTCAAAATGGTTAGACGCTAGTACAAAGGATTCCTTGAACGTATTGTCTATTGGATGAAATTAAAATGCTTCTAGCTCCAAGGCAACAAACATTTTTTGTTACTTTACAATCATTTATACCAATACATAGATGGATAAAAATTTATTAGTACATAATATATATCAAAATGTTACAGGATGCATTTCCCATTAAAATATGATCAGACATGCATGGCATATCTAATGTCGATTGATATTCTAAACATTGTTCCATTCCCTTGTATGAAATTTAATAATTCATAATAGTAATGAATATTCTAGTGTCATATTTTACTTCCGCTGCATTGCGTATGAGAAGATCTAGAACACAGTATTTAAACAATAAGTGCGATAAGTGCATGA